AAGGTTGACTAGCCCTGGTTTATACAGAGTCAGCATATTGCCCCCAACAATCTGGGTCCTCTTTTTACCCATCTCGGAAGGGTGGAAGGCTGAGTCAACCTTGAGCCTGGTGGGATTTGAACTGCCAAATTGCAGGCAGCCGGCAGTCAGCAGAAGTAGCCTGTAGTACTTGCCCTCTAAGCACTGCACCACCGCGGCTCAAATAAATAAATGTGGCTCAAATAAATAAATGTGGCAAATAAACACTTGAAAAAATAAATGTGGGCGGAGAATAATTACTTAGAAAATAGATGCTACCGTGTTTTCCCAAAAATAAGACCTCCCTGGATAATAAGCTCAATTGGGCTTTTGAGCGCATGTGCTAAAATAACCCACTGAAAATACCCCCCCCCCTGAAAATACTACTCCAAATAAGCCTTCCGCGAAAATATTTAGATGTATGCGTAGCTGGTCCCCTACATTTCCTCTGATTAGGGTTAGGAAGACAGAGCTGGAAACCAAATAAGATGCCAAAAGGAACCCCATCTTGCTCCATGGACCCCAAAATTATAAGACCTCCCTGAAAATAAGGCCAAGCACTTATTTCGGGGTTCAAAAAATGTAAGTCAGGGTCTTATTTTCGGGAAAACATGGTAGTCAGGTTTGTTCACATTTAGGATCCTACACAATTCATTGTTTAAGTGTCGAAGTTACATTTAACATGCCAATGCAGAAATCCATATAAAAGTAGAAAAAGGGTATTTTTTTTACCTGAAAATTTTCCTTCCTTACAGCGGGCCGGTCCACAGATCCCAACAATGGGTCTTTGGCCTCTCCCTTGCTGTTCTGGAGGAAAATTGGATCTGTGAGTTAAAAGAAGGAACATGTGCTTCGATCCAGCCCAACCACCCTTTTCATCGAATCATTATTATTAAATCACAACAGTCATTCTTAAGCGAAACCTGATAAATGTAAGCCGTGCTCCATATACCACACGGATCTTGAACCTATTTGAAACCTGGAAACAGTTTGCGTATTTAATGCATTTGAAAGGTGGCTATTTAATTTATAACACGGATGTCAAACTCACGGTGTCACATTGCCGTCATGCGACATATCACAACATGTTCCCCTGTTGCAGAGCTGGGATGGATGTGACCTGTATATGAAGCATTTGGCACGAGCTGCCAGTTTGACACCCCTGGTTTATAAGGTAGTTTTTGAATGGCAGCAGTTCATTTAGCGACCATTCGACATTACAGCGGCACTGGAAAAGGGACTTATGACCATTTTTCACACTTAAAGCCACTGTAGCATCTCCATGGTGATGTGATCCAAATCCAGACACTTGGCAATGGGCTCATGTTTATGATGGGATCAGGGGGTCCCCTTTTGTAAATTTTTGACAAGCAAAGTCAACAGGGAAGTCAGGTTTCATTTATTTTTCATTTAACAACCGTGTTACTAACTTAACAACTCAGTGATTCACTTAACAACTGTGTCAAAAAGATTGTAAAATAGGCCAAAATTCACTTAGCAACTATCTCACTTAGGAACCCAATTTTTTTTTGACTCAGTTGTGGTTCTAAATCAATGCGTACCTGTATTTATTTGTTTATTAAATCTGTTTGATGCCCATCTTGTCATAAGGCAACTCATGGTGGCTTACAACATTCAAACAAAACCTTAAATATATGTATAAATCTATAAAATCACACTAAACATAAACTCAACATTTGTCAATATCTGTGAAGATTCTCAGTCATCCAGGTCATGATTGTTCAAATAGTGTTTNTCAACCCTGAGCCGGTGAGATTTGAACCGCTGAACTGCTGATCTAGCAGTAGCCTGCAGTGCTGCATTTAACCACTGCGCCACGTGTGCAGGGCTGCCAGAAGACAAGAACAATTAAGAAAGCAGTGTTGACTAAGGAGTAAAGCCACATCTTGGAGGTGATTGGCCACTCCCATAGGTAACAAAAGAGGAGCAAGCGGGGAGTGGACTTTTGCACAAAACAATTTGTTCCTTCGGTTGTTTCAAGAGTGAAAAGTTATCTTTGTAACTATAAGAGACACTTTGCCAAGTTTTGGGTTGCCCTGCCTTTGGAAACTAGTTATCTGGCATCTCTCCAAATGAGATAAGGCCCGTGTTGATAAATATTCCTTGGAAAGACTGTTTGCTAAGCCTTTCTGACTGTGAATGAAAGGAATTCACAGTCGTTGTAAATAAAAGAGGTTTGGCCAGGACCAAGACTCTGCTTCATGCTTTTTAAGGAATCCTGGGCCAGAACACCTGGGTTCGAGACACGAGGGCAGCACAACAGAGTGAGCTCCTGTTCCTTGCCCCAGCTCCTGTCCACCTAGCAGTTTGAAAGCATGCAAATGCGAGTAGATTAATAGGTACCGCTTTGGTGGGAAAGTAGCAGAGTTTATATAGCCATGCTGGCCACATCATCATCTTTTAACAACCCAAATAATCCCTTGCAGGGTCGAGGCTGGGTAACTGAATGGAGAGGAGTGTTTACTGGCCAGATGCCATCCCTGTTGCCAATGCGGAGTCATATTCAGCAGATATATTCTCATTGTGCCCAGAGATAGAAATATCTGCCTCTACCTAGGATTGAACTAACAGCCTCCAGACTGTGGAAATGTCTTTGGACAATACTGGTTCCCTCGGCCAAGAAATGGATGTGAGCAACGTCCCCTTGCGTCAGACACCACTGGATATGAAAACCTTTACCTTTTACACTGTTTTTATTTAGAGGTTTTAAAACACCTCCTGGCACCCTTGCAGTTGAAATAAGTGCTGACTGAATAATTTAGGATATTCAACAGAGATTTTTCAAGCTTTATGCTCATTTCTGTGGAGGGAGTTAAAGAGATACCAATTTACTGTATTCCAGGATAATTGGTTCAGACTGGTCATCTTTTATTCTTGAGTCCAAAAAAGAAAAGAAGTTGGGGAATTAATTGCCCTCAATAGCGGCCATGATGTATTACACCAGCATTCCCAGCAGCTTCATTAGTACTTGACCAGATGGCACCAGAAATTACACGGTTTTCCAGATTTGCTTAATTATGCTTCATTGAAGCTCTGATTGTACTCAGGTGACAGATTTCCTGGATGAGGTTAGATGGCTCCTGTCTAGACTTATGGGAAAATCCAAGTTTTGGCCAAAAATATCACCCTCTAGACAAGGATCCTCTTGGAAGGCAGTCAAAGATTAGTAGATCATTGAAAAAAAAGCACTTGAATGCCAGTGCCCTCATTTAGGAGCAAGACAAAATAATTGCATGGATAATGGAACTGCCAACTTTCAACACCACTAAATTAGATCCTCTTCCACTCACCTCCACTTCTGAGTGCCTGTCAATAGAGGGGGGGGGGGAGAGAGAAAGCTCTAGTAAGATGTTAAATGAAGTATGAAAATGCTTTGTGGTGTCTTTCTACTAGACAACTACACACAAGGGAAGCAGAAGAAACTAGACACAGATCTGGAGGCATTGAGCAGAGGTGGCACAGTGGTTAAATGCAGCACTGCAGGCTACTTCAGCTGACTGCAGTTCTGCAGTTCAGCTGTTCAAATCTCACCGGCTCAGGGTTGANAGGGCTGTGCGGAAGGTCTGAAGGGTGGTGAGGGTACAAATTTCCACGGGGAGATAGTTCCACAGGGTCGGAGCGGCCCCCGAGAAGGCTCTCCTCCGCGTAGTTGCCAGTCGGTTCAGAAAAAAAAGCATGGACGTTTCCATAAAATCATCAGAGGTTTTACTCGTGTATTTAAACCAATTTTCATTCCTACACAAAGCCAGGCCCAAAAATGTTAGGGGATTTCTAGAAGCCTGGCACCCTGCAAAGTAGCCATCAACAGACCCATAGACATAAACAATATCTACACATTATGCAAAAGAGACAATCGTCTAGCCCCGGGATCGCAAACCTATGCCACACATGCTACAGGTGGCACGTGGAGTCGTGTGTGCCGGCATGGCAGCCCTCAGCTCTGGGACATGTGTGCATGCCAACCAGCTGTTTTTTGGCCTTCCGGAGGGCCAGGAAGGCCATTTTCACCCTCTCCAGACTTCAGGAAAGCCTCCGGAACCTGGGGAGGGCAAAAAAAGGCCCAATGGGCAAACCGGAAGTTCATTCCCGAACTTCCGGTTTGCCCTTTGGGCCATTTTTCACCCTCCCCAGGCTTTAGGAAAGCCTCCAGAGCCTGGGGAGGGTGAAAACTCCCCCCCATGTGGGAGGGGGTATATGCAGAGGAGGGTCTCATGCGCAGGCACAGGTGGTGGGGGGGTCACACGCGTATGCGCAGGTGGGTGGGCAAAAGAAAAAGGTTAGCCATCACTGGTCTAGCCAAAAGGGGAACAAACATCTCTCCACCAGCAATCAGCATCCAGGTGAGCCCATATTAGCTCCAAGGTTAACATCAGACCAACAATCAAGAAGTAAACAATACCCTAATCAAGGAACTGCCAAACAAGGTGACAGTAAACTGACAATCAAAGACTCTCTAAGACTACCCAAAGGATGTATTTCACTTTTGCTGTATAAATAATTCCCTAGTTATTTAGAGTGTCCCTAACTTTTTAAACCTCCATTATGGAAGCCATAATCAGAAACGTATTTCAGGATGCTTCTTTTTGTCAAGACTCCAAGGAACCAAGAAGAAACATTTTGATTCTTCTAAACTGGTGTCTTTATTCTTCCTCACCTATAGACAGAATCTTGCCAAACTAAAGCATGCTAGCAGCCTAATAAAGCATATTCTCTGGAAACTAGTAAGGGAAAGCTGTTTTCATCCTCATTCTCTCAAACAAATTACCTTAAGTGAGTTGTCTCTTGCTGTTCCAGAATGCAACCCTTCCTTCCTGGGAACCTGGGTCATATCCTATTACAGGTTTCCACTGCACAACTGTGAAATATTCAGCGTGATGGAGAGATGCGTCACAGAGAGCAACATCACTCAGGACAATAAAATTAGCTCAGAAACAGAACAATCAGAACACCAAATACAATCTGGGTGGATACGACCTCCCAGATGACCCTTACTCAGTCAAAGACCTAGGAGGACGCAACTCAAATGATTTAAGCCCCAGAGCTCACTCTAACAGCATTGCCAAAAAGGCATTAAGAGTTGTTAACCTAATCTTTTGTGAAGCTTCTTCTCCGGTAACATTGTACTGCAAACTATGTTATACAAAACCTTTGCCAGACCAATTCTCAAATACAGCTCATCTACCTGGAATCCACACTGTACATGGGACATTAGTACAATTGAGTGAGTCCAGAGGTATTTCATAAGAAGAGCACTACACTCCTCTGCTCACAACAGAATACCTTAGGCCACCAGGCTTGAAATTATGACCTAAGCATAGTACACAAAATTGTCTGCTACAGCGTCCTACCTGTCAATGACTACTTCAGCGTCAATTGCAATAATATACGGGAAAACAATACATACAAGCTCAGGGCAAACCGCTCCAAACTCAATTGCAGAAAATACGACTTCAGCAACAGAGTGGTCAACGCCTGGAATGCTCTACCTGACTCTGTTGTTACATCCTCAANTTTTTGAAACCCACCACTGACAAGCTTGGAGAAAAAACCTTCACTCTCATCTTTATCATCATTCAGACTGATTTTCCCAACACTTGACAAAATCCTGCTCAGCGATGTCCCAATCCAATCACAGTTTTAGCTTTTCTCCTAAGAAATCGAGAATGTTACAAAACGAAGACTCCTAAATTCAATGCAAATTCCCTACTCCAAATCTAGGTACCTACCCACTTCTCTCTCTCTCTCTTCCGTTTCTTAAAGAATATTTTTCCCCCGTTAGTTTAACT